CATGTAGACTACAAAAACATGAATTCGTGAAAACGGTGATGTCAAATGCAAGATTTTTACGTACTCAGTCTATAGGCGCGTGGTGTTTCTTTACTAAGTGACATCGCCAACTACTGGCCTGGCATGAATGATACAGCGTTTTAAATCGTTTTCGAGATCCGTGTGAACAGGGATCATTTTGAAAAAATTGTCGTTAAGACTTATTCGCATTAAGAACAATAACTATTTTTTATATTTATAATAATAATTGTATTTATTAGAGTCTGCAGCAATAGACAGTATCGTTCTGTTTTTGTTGCAGTTATGTCGTCTGTCGCTTTCAATGCTCAAGGTATTTAAAGCTGTGTGGATTCTGATTGGCTGTCAATATTTTTATTATTCATCAGCTGGAAAAAAAAAATCATTCTAAAAGTGATTCCAACTATATGGTTCCACTGTTGTGAAACTCTCATAGAATTAGATGGATTATTAAAAATGAATCATTATAGTTATCATCCTTAGTATGAATAATCTTAAGCTGGTTTGCAGGTCACAGCTAGTTGAAGTCATCAAAAATCATTTCATTTTTTGAGTTTACGAGGTCAGGATGTGCATGTGAAGGTCCTTTCACTGCCACAGAACAATTATAATCAATGCAATGCACTGAAATATCTTTTTCCACCATTTTACACTATATATATATATGTGTGCCTGTATTAATTGTTAATTACAAGAAAGCATTTCATACTAATTTCCTAATTCCCCGGAGGGAGGAGAGCTAGAGATACAAGATTTCATCTTACGAGAAAAGGATGTATTGAATCAAAGCAGAGCCCATTGATTCATAATGAAGTTGTGTGATATCTTAGTCAGATTGGATAACAGGACATGATCATTATGCTTTTACACAGTGAAAATCCAAGACTATATTGATTCCCCCCCCTCCCCATATATGATTTTTATGAAGAGGTGGATTTCATCAGGGTTTAGTCATGAAACACCACCTCCCCGCCCTGGGTAATGTGGCTGTACCGCCCAGGAAATTAAAATCGGAAATTAGTGCCACAGTATTTAAATGAGACTCCCAGCAGCAAGTCTCTTCCTGTGTTTTACTGTTCAACATTAACCTCACTGAAAGCACTGCAAGGCAATTAGCATCACCAAATGACATACACTAGGTTTCAACTTTTCATTATGTGAATGGTAAGCCGTGTATAATTAAAAAACTATTGATAAACACATACCTGAGCATTAGCAGGGCACACCGTTGCCAGGGTGGCTTTCATAATTACCATATCTCTCTTCACCGAGGGCCAGGAGTGACTAAGGAATTCTGATATGGGCTTATAAGAGAACAAGAGAGGTCATTTAAATCAAATGAGCAGACGATTTCAATTCATCTAGGTTATTTCCTGGTTCTTAAGTAGCACACATTCACAACCATAGTGTAAGCATTTCTCTTTTCAACAGGAACATTTAGAGTGCTGTTATTATTTTTTTTCAACAAGCATTCTGAAGCATTGGCGCTTCTGTTTCATATGTTATGTTTGTCTCACTCAGCTCTCTATAGCTCCCTAGGTAAATAATCAGTATTGTTGTCCCTCACACTCAGTTTTGTTTGTTCTTAGTTTCTGTTTTCATGGACTTTTAGTTTGTTTTCATCAGTCACATGCTTTCTTTGTCTTAGTTTCCCGCCATTAAATAATTGTCAAGGACATTCATCTATCCATCACACCTCTTTGTTGACATTTCATTATCTCTGTATTTTTTGTATTTCGGTTGTTGTATTCGTTTTGGTTGGTGGGCGCCTGCTTTTGGATTAAACCTTGTATATATTTTGAGTCTGCCTTCTTCAGTCTTCTTCTTCATCAGGTGACAAAACAACTGACCAAAAGTATGAATTATTCAATGTGATTTTCTATAGTTGCTCGCGAGGGCCTAAACTTTTCAACCTTTTCTGCCATCTTGCCGTCACCAGCCCCTCTGACGACGAGAGCCTGAAATAACAGTTCTGTATCGGGGCTAATTATCATTCACCCCTCAGACCTCCCAGACACCTCTGGGCTTAACTGGAGGGACACTGGCATCCAGTGTGTGGAGATTGTCTATCCCTGGTTCAGAACACTGCCAGACCCAGAACCCATTCCACCACCACTGACCACGGAGGAATCGCGTGTTCCCCCAGCAGAAGGAGAGCAGCCATTGTCCACCTGCCAAGACGCGTCAGCCATTGTCCAAAGATAAGAGTTCAGCTGGGACCCTGGCCCCAGAAGAGGAGCCCCCAGTGAATCTGACCCAGAGGGGTGATCCCACGAAATCAGTGGCCTAGTCTATACTGGTGTAAATTGAGAGGTAAAGCAGAGGTATCATCTCCCACCCTATCCCACCCCATTTCTGTTTTTTCATTACTGTCTCTGGACAACACCATGAACTTTGTACCTTTCCTCTGAACCTTCATCGCTGTTTCTAGACAGCACAGGCACCTGCATGAACAATATATTGACCCTGTTAAGTCTCCATCTGCCACCATCACTGCCCTGCTCAGCCAGTCTTGCAGACCCGCCTTTGCTGGAGGTTTGCAGCCCTTCGCCATCTCCTGTAAGGCCAAGCAGTCAAGTCAAGCCTCAGGTCCTGCAACCATCATCAGCATCTCTTGGCCCGTCGACCTGTCGCCTCCATCTTGGGTCCTCCCACCTTCGGCTCCACCAGACAACCTCTGCTGTACGGCTCCACCAGGTTCCCTCTTCCCATGGGCTCCCCCTTGGTCAGTCGTCACTCCACTCAGTCTTGCAGCCCCGCCTTTGCTGGAGTTTTGCAGCCCTTCGCCATCTCCTGTAAGGCCAAGCAGTCAAGTTGAGCCTCAGGTCCTGCAATCATCACCAGCATCTCTTGGCCCGTCGACCTGTCGCCTCCATCTTGGGTCCTCCCACCTTCGGCTCCACCAGACAACCTCTGCTGTATGGCTCCACCGGGTTCCCTCGTCCCATGGGCTCCCCCTTGGTCAGTCGTCACCCCACCTTCGCCACGGACTTCCAGACCTTCTGCTATGCTCCTCTTCCCCTACGCCTGCAGCGGGCTCCTCCTTCCCTTCGGGTATGCCTCGCTCCTCCATCACACTGGCTTTCCCTCAGTCCTCGGGGTAATCTGGCTGCAACTCAGATGCTTGTCACCACGGCATCGCCTAGGCCTCCTGTGCCAGCAATGTTACTGCTCCATCGGCTCAATCGGTCATCCAGGGGCCAGCAGGGGGTGCTCACCCTGTGGTCTGTGTGGGTCCTAATGCCCCAGTATAGTAATGGGGATACTATACTGTCAAAGAGCACCGTCCTTCGGATGAGACGTTAAACCGAGGTCCTGACTCTCTGTGGTCATTAAAAATCCCAGGATGTCTTTCGAAAGAGTAGGGGTGTAACCCCGGCATCCTGGCCAAATTTGCCCAGTGGCCTCTGTCCATCATGGCCTCCTAATCATCCCCATATATACCAATTGGCTTCATCACTGTCTCCTCTCCACCAGTAAGCTGGTGTGTGGTGAGCGTTCTGGCGCACTATGGCTGCCGTCGCATCATCCAGGTGGATGCTGCACACTGGTGGTGGTTGAGGAGATTCCCCTCTCTATGTAAAGCGCTTTGAGTGCCGAGAAAAGCGCTATATAAATGTAATGAATTATTATTATTATTATTATTATTATTATCCCCTTGTTGACGTCAGCCACTACTCCACCTTGACTCCTCCCTCCCTCGACTTCGCCGTGGGCTGTCGTCTCTGGGCTCTGGGTCTGTGCCATGAGACGTCCTCCATCATCGCCACCAGGGTCTCGTCATCATCCGGATGCCATCATTCCTCCGTCACCGCCCATCACAAACCCTTCTCTATCTCCTGTCAGCATCCCAGCACCATCAACATGCCCTCGTCCTATCTCCTCCTTTTCCTTACCTAGGAGCCTTCCGGGAGCGGGTGCTATGTCACACGCACTCAGATTTATTTGAGAGTGTAAGAGTAAGAATGTAACCCCGGTGTCCTAGTCAAATTCCCTCCATTGGCCCTTACCAGTCATGGCCTTCTAATAATCCCAATCCGTTGAACTGACTCTATCACTCACTCACCTCTCCACCTATAGCTGGTGTGTGGTGAAGACACTGTCACCGTTGTTCTCATTCAAGTGGATGCTGCACACTGTTGGTGGGTGAGGAGAGACCCCTGATGTGATTGAAAAGTGCTTTGAGTGTACAGAAGTACACATGAAAGTGCTAGATATATGCCTCATTCAATTCAATTCAATTCAATTCAATACAATTCAGTGCACCAGTTTATCTAGGATCTGGAGGTGCTACTTTCTTTTGCTGTTGTCTTTGCTGGTGATTCCCTTCATTGGCATCCTTGCTGGAAGAGATTTCCCAGGTTTGTTGATTCGCCATGTCTGGAGTGACGTCTTGGAGGCCAATTACGTTGTGGTGTGTAGGCTGATGAATAGAAGTGGAGTCTAGTGGTTGAAGTTTGAAGTCGGAGGTGAACACAGACTAGAGTCGTTGACTGAAAATGACTTGCATGATGCTGTTCGGTCTTAACATGTTTTTATCTGATCTGGTCTCTTTATCTCATCTAATGTTTTGTTTGTGTCCTGAAATTTTGAACTCTGATGTTTGTCCAACCCTTTGGAGGAGTTCTGACCAGTTAGGTATCTTCTTTGGTTCAGCGTGTGACAATTTCTCCTTCTCGCACATAAATTACATGTTATCTGATTAGTCACATGGTATCTTAAAGGGATAGTTCATGATATGCCCTCGCCCTCAGTTCACTTGGACGTGGCAAGTGAAGGGGTAAAACGATATAAATACTGTTTGTTTTCTCACACAAACCGCTCGTTTCGTGTCTTAGGCCATCAATGTGTACTTACATTTACAAGTCATTAAATCATGTTTAATCTGGACTTCTCTGTGCATGCTCTTTTGGGAGATGCCCATGGACTTCCATATGACTGACAGACAAGAACGGTTTGACCTAAAAATATCAAAATTGAAAATGTGGAAACAAAGACACCTACATCTTGGATGCCCTTGAGGTAAACTAAAACATCAAAAATAATTTCAAACTTTAACTTTCCTGCTCTCGCAGGGGATAATTTAGACATAATTTTTATAATAAGAATTTGAAACATTTTACACAGATTTAATTCATACCACAATTTGAGAAATGGAAAACCATTCACGCTAATAGTACACAAGACATACTTCGAATCAACCGTTCAACATAACGTCAGACTCAAGATTTGCCATCTCCCAACCAATCTGTCTTTTTAAAACTACCTAAAATTGACATCTTGTCATATTCAAGTCTGTGTTCCCCTGTCTCCTCTCATGTTTTCAGTTCCCCATTAGTTTGATTAGTCTTCCCAGGTGTTTCTTGTTAACCACACCCCCTTGTTATCTTGTCTAGCTAGTTTTCCCCTGTATTTATACCCCTGTAGTTTAGTTGTTCCTGGTCAGTCGTTGATGTTCCTGTCTTGCTGTTCTGTGTTCCTGCTCTTAGTTTCTGGTTAAGTTACATGTTTGTATTTTATTAAATAAGTTCTGCATATGGATTCTCTCTGCACTCCATTCCTTGCCCAACGTGACACATCTTAAGTGTTCTTTCTCTAGTCATCTCTTAGAAGCGTTCTTTGTCTTATGTCGAAGAGTCAGTTAGTTTCCAGACCGAATGGGATCCCCAATGACAGATCATCTGGTTCTGAGTGAAACTCAGACTCTCTGTAGAATTCGGCTCTTTTCAGAGTTCACTCTCAGTTAAGTGAAAATAAATATTGAATGAGAATTTAGACTTTAGATTTTAACTCAGGAAACTGATGGTTGGAGGGCAGTGGTTAAGGATGTTGTTCTGCACTAGTCATCAATCTTACATCATCTGAGAAGGAATGGCATTCCAGAGGGGAAGCAAATTTTCACATCGTGATTAAAAATTACAAAGACAAACAATCTTTTTCTTGTGAATTAATTTACTATTAATTCTATTTGTTTACCACAAGACTTGTGAGCTAACAAAGAGAATGGGGTTCATTTTTATTTCATGCAGACTTTAATAAAACAAAAATTTAAATCAATATTTCATTCAATTTCTTTAATTAGCCATGTAATGAGTGGAGTACTACACAACAAGCCGGAAAGGATCACAAAATATTGTTCAGCATATTACCCCTTGTGAGTGCATTACTGCATATCCTTGTTTACGTCTGCCTTAGTCTCTCTGGAATTGAAATATATCTACAGTTAAAATGATTATGGTAGAGCAAGCGAGCGAGAGAGAGGAGCAGAAGAGATATAAAATGAGAGTAGGGCTGGAGGTTATTGGTTTGAATCTGGTCACTCGACTCCTACTGAGTGCAGAGGGCAAGTCCTGTCACAGCCCTAGGGAAGAACAGCAGACGGAAATGAGATGTACAGCATGTCAGGCGAAGGAAATGCGAAGAGGGAGACAAGACAGATGGAATCTATGAGCATCTCTGGCCTCAGAGGAGAGCTGAGAGGTCAGCTCATAAGAATTTGGCTGGTGTTACTGCAGAGGTGGTCCGCTCCCACACAACTCTCCCCTCATTCCTGTTTCTCCCTTTTTTCATTACAACCTACACAAGACCTTTATTACATTCTCCACTTGGTTCTTAGCTGGAAAACTTTAGTTTGAATGCATCAAAATCCAATATATTCTTTTATTTTTATAACGTTTTTTAAATTTAAAGCAACAGCAGACCCAGATATGAAAATTCTGTCATCATTGACTTAACTCATTTACCTAACTTTCTTTTATGTAACTTTTCACCAGGGGCATCAGGTAAATCACTCCTTATGCCACTATTAAAGTTCCTTCCTACTCCACAACTAACAACAAGTCAGAATCAACACAGGTGTGGTACAAATATGCAGGTATGTAGAAAATTTTTTCCATTTTGAATATTGTTATATCTTGTTTACTTGTTCGTCACCAAACTTGTTTACTTGCATGTTTAATGAAGGGGTGCCATTTTTAGCTTTCGCGGAGAGTACTAGCGACACATGTAAACAAACCGTTTATCCTGAAGGTGTGTGTATCAGCAGAAGGGCTTTGACATTGGTAGATTCTTGTCCACAGGGATGGTGGAGTGATGTGTGTGACAGGTGTCGGAGGGATCCGTCAATACCTGCGGCTTTGACGAGAAGCACCCATCTGTGTGTGTGCACGAGGCTGTTCTTGAGGACAGAGTTTTCGCTCAAACAATCATAATGTGTTTGTTCATGCATTTGAAATGCATAATTGTGCATCAACACAATATTTTTCAAGGTTTAGATTCAAGGTTATTTTTCATTCAACATTTGTATTTGTTTAATCAATCAATCAATCAATCAATCAATCAATCAATCAATCAATCAATCCATCCATCAATCCATCAATCCATCAATCCATCAATCAACCAACCAATCCATCCATCCATCCATCCATCCATCCATCCAAGGTTTCATTCAAGTGCTTTTGGCTTAAGCCCACAGTCTTATAAATGAGTAGTATTTCCTAAAAAAAACGATTTTCCAACCCAACCTGTTTTACAGTGTGCAATTAGAAAAAAAAGTATGGATTTCCATTCCTATGCTCACCCCTAAATCTCTGTGTGGAGGAGAACAGATTGTGCGAAAACAAATGAGGTTGTACAAATTCGTATGTATTTGCGACAATATCAATATAGTTATAAATTGTTGTGGGTATTATTCATGATCGGTACACAAGTTTACAAAGTTGGTGGTGATGGCAAATCAAACTTTTTATAACCAGAGTCAATTAGATCAAAAGTTTGTCAAAACGAACTTAGATATTGGCCAAAAAAAGCAAAAAACTCCATATAGCTTTCCACTGGTTCTATTACGTCCACACTCTAAATAATGCTGAGTTGTTTTAACCCAAATTTGGGTCAAATATGGACAATCCCAAATGTTGGGTTAAATATGTCATTTAAAATATTAACCCAACTTCAACTTTCACTTTCAACTGTACATTTTTCAATTACATTTTTAACCCAACATTTGGGTTTGTCCATATTTGACCAAAATTTGGGTTGAAACAACACTGTAAAAATGAATGCGCTTTATCTAATCAAAAAAATTGTGGCAACAGATTACAAGCAATATTATTAATTCAATTTAACACTTTAGAATTGAGTAATAATTCATCAAATTAATTCCTAAAAAAGTTAACCATTTAAAATGAGTAAAATGTTTGTAAATGAGTAAAAAAAAAAAAAACACAAAAAAACGAACATTTAAGTCACCATTATGGTGATCGGTGTTTGTTTTAGGTTTGTTTTAAAATGGCGGCTTTCTCCTTCAGTGATTCTGCTTGTTAATGTTGGCAATATAAAACTGTACATTTTTTAATTACATTTTAACCCAACATTTGGGTTTGTCCATATTTGACCCAAATTTGGGTTAAAACAACCCAACATTTTTAGAATGCATTTGTAATGAATTCATTTATATCAGATATATTTCTTAAGGTTCTGTTTAGATATAGTTTGTGGTACTTGCTTTATTGTTCATGATTCTTCAGCTTGATTGGGCTTTGGTTTATGTTGGGAGTTGATTTTTATTAAAAAAAAAAGATTCCCATTTTTTATTATTTTTGTTATATGAAGATTTATTCCAATATTAGGCTTACATATATTACAATGATTTCAGAAGGATCAAGCGACACTGAAGACTGCAGTAATGATGTATGCAGGAACATATACAGTATTACATTTTGAAATGTAAAGCAGTTATAAAGTACTAAGTTTAAAAATGTGATGAAAGTTAATGCACCTGTTTACCAAGAATGCAACAATGTAAGTGAAGTATGAAATATGAGACATTTGATGTGCGAAAAATTGCTTCTCTCTTTAAAAGTCATACAGATTATTTGTATTGTGAATCATTTCAAATCAAGCAGAAAGTTTATCACCTGTACTATGAATAGCAAGACAAATGAATCATCCACCATTATTATGAAACAACAAGTTAATTTCTAACACTGTTCAAGATCATTAATGTACCCTTAGCAACAATCATTGACTCACAAAATCCTCCAATCCACATTTTTTCGGATCATAGCCACGTTTTGAGGAAACAGTGAGGCTGATGTGGCAAACTCCACACTTCACCTTCTTGGAAACAGCAGTGTTGTTTTTAATGCTAATTATCTTGGTGTTACCTCTGGTGTCACTCGGTGTGATTTTGTGCAATCACACTGATAACAGGTGGCCAGATGGCATGCCACTTCTAACAAAGTGACAAGAAAAATGCTGCGGTTGTGTCTTCTGTTCATTTAGATCATTAAAAAACTGTAAAAGCACATGTATTGGATAAGTCACGATATTCTTTCACGATATTCATGTATTTTAAAGTGAATATGATTGGCAGTGGATCGAGAATCTAATCAAAAGCATTTTAATATGCGAATACATTGGATCAAGATGGAACTGGACTGCACAGCTGAAATGAACAGGTTTCATCATTAATGTCAGAAGGCATTTATTAGGATTAGTCGCAATCAGGCACTACGCCTAGAAATGCAGCTAATGTTACTGGAATGCTGAAATTAGGGGTAGAAATGGCTCAGGCTGTATGACTAATAATGCACGGTTGTGTGTAAGAAGCATGTTTAGGTTTGATACCAACAGCTAGATTCCCGATGAACATACATCTTCCATGCACTTTCCGATTTAACGTCTATCATGCTGAATTAAATGGTCCCTTGAAGCCGGAGAAGGCCTTTTGAATATACTGTACACACACTTACCACAACACAGGAATTTTCATCTTCAGCATGCCTGTGAATCTTCTGACCTTTTCTAAATGCGTAATTAGGGCTGTCACTTGTGTCAAAAAATCCTGATCGATTTTTGAGACATGTGTTCATTGAATCGATTGTAAGATTTTCCATGTCTAAAGACGTTTCCATTTTAGCCAAATATAGGCAAATCCACGAACACCAAACCGGCATTAGGAGGAACGTAGGCCTAAAGAGGGCACTTATGCATTAGAGTATTAGTAGATTGTCAGCTTAATATCTGCAAACACTTTATTGTGATGCTCCTCCAACAGACATTCTACTTACGTCCGGCTCTGGTGCCAAAATTGGAAAAAATTGACTAAGTCCAATAACGTGATGTGTTCAAAGCTCCATGGTCTCAGACCTCCATGGCCAGCCCAGGGAGGGTGGCTCGTCCTGGGCCAGATTCAGATTTGCCCGCCACCCCTGGAGCTCCACCTGGAGGAAAGACGGTCCTAAAACAGGCCTTCGGGGGTGTATGGAAGAGGGCAAGTGTGGTGGTGCAAAACACAGAGGACCCCTACCAGTGATCAGACCGTCGTGAGTCCCACTCAGACTCACTCCGGGTGGGTGGGCATGTAAAATCCAGATTACGCCACGTTGGAGCTCTGAAAGTACGAGACCTCCAGGAAAAGACAAGCTGGTTTTCTGAAAAGTGCACCCCAGGCAGGGTGCATCTTTCCTGGGCACGAGCCCAGTGCACATGCTAGGGTCTGGCTCTGGTGCCAAAATTTGAAAAAAATCGACTAAGTCCAATAACGTGATGTAGCTACATGTTAACTTATTCTATCCCTAACCCTACCAGTCTATTAATACTCAACTAACACTCTAATGAGAGTTAGTAGATATATAGGTGCAACGTTACTTATAGTCAACAGAATGTGTTAAAGGAACCATCAAAATAAAGTGAAACCCAAGCTTGTTGGCCTCTGCTGTTTCAGCAACCAGTGAGATTGCTTGCTTAACATTTAAATAGTCCTGGTTTTGTGTTCATTATAAGCTGGTATGTCAGTTACTCTGAAACCCTCCACCTCCCCCAGCTCCACCTGCCAAAATCTGCTATAGAAATTTTATATGCCTAATTATGCGCACAGCAACATGTCTAAGTCTTTTTTTGGCACTAGCAAGTCCATACTTGTTCTGTAGATCTACTGTAGTCTACGAAGACAAATTAACATGCTAAAACTATACAGAGTGTTGTCGTGATTGAAAAAAGTGCTAGTTTCATGTTTCTCTCTCTCTGTCTGTAATATATACATATAGAAACAGGAGAAACATGAAACTGTTTAGACATATACACTCACCTAAAGGATTATTAGGAACAACTTTTCAATTTCTCATTAATGCAATTATCTAAACAACCAATCACATGGCAGTTGCTTCAATGCATTTAGGGGTGTGGTCCTGATCAGGACAATCTCCTGAACTCCAAACTGAATGTCAGAATGGGAAAACAATTCTGAGCGTGGCATGGTTGTTGATGCCAGACGGCCTGGTCTGAGTATTTCAAAATCTGCTCAGTTACTGGGATTTTCACGGACAACCATTTCTAGGGTTTACAAAGAATGGTGTGAAAAGGGAAAAACATCCAGTATGCGGCAGTCCTGTGGGCGAAAATGCCTTGTTGATGCTAGAGGTCAGAGGAGAATGGGCCGACTGATTCAAGCTGATAGAAGAGCAACTTTGACTGAAATAACCACTCGTTACAACCGAGGTATCCAGCAAAGCATTTGTGAAGCCACAACACGCACAACCTTGAGGCGGATGGGCTACAACAGCAGAAGACCCCACTGGGTACCAGTTGAAGACTGAAAAAATTATGCCTGGTCTGATGAGTCTCGATTTCTGTTGAGACATTCAGATGGTGGAGTCAGAATTTGGCGTAAACAGCATGAGAACATGGATCCATCATGCCTTGTTTCCACTGTGCAGGCTGGTGGTGGTGGTGTAATGGTGTGGGGGATGTTTCCTTGGCACACTTTAGGCCCCTTAGTGCCAATTGGGCATCGTTTAAATGCCACGGCCAACCTGAGCATTGTGTCTGACCATGTCCATCCCTTTATGGCCACCATGTACCCATCCTCTGTTGGCTATTTCCAGCAGGATAATGCACCATGTCACAAAGCTCAAATCATTTCAAATTGGTCTCTTGAACATGACAATGAGTTCGCTGTACTAAAATGGCCCCCACAGTCACCAGATCTCAACCCAATAGAGCATCTTTGGGATGTGGTGGAACGGGAGCTTCGTGCCCTGGATGTGCATCCCACAAATCTCCATCAACTGCAAGATGCTATCCTATCAATATGGGCCAACATTTCTAAAGAATGCTTTCAGCACCTTGTTGAATCAATGCCACATAGAATTAAGGCAGTTCTGAAGGTGAAAGGGGGTCAAACACAGTATT